TGTTTAAGTCTTCCTTGTCGTTTGTTTGTTGTTGCACCATTGTCGTGCTGTTGCAGTTGTTTTTATTAGTGTTTCCGGGAGCGTTAACTGCTAAGTCATTAGACCCGTAATGGAAGCTGTCGCGGCTACACGCTCGAAGTATGCCGACTGCTCTCCCACAGTTGTGGTGTTGCATGGTCTCCCAACAAAGTGTGTGTGTGTATTGTAAGTAAGTAAGGAGGGAGGATTTAGGACAAGAAAAAGAAGATGGCGCGCGGTATGCCCGTTTGTTAGGGTACTGCTGCGGCCTTCGCCTTAGTTGTTAATAAGAAAAACCTTTTACAACTAACCGATTCAAAACAAGACGGCCGCCTTGATTCTCATCCAGACAGAGAAAGTGAATTTTCCTCCTAGCTGTCAAGCTAATGCAAAAATCCTGAACGCGATTGAGCCCTAAGACTTCCCGGTCGGAGGCCCCACAGTGACAACAACGCCTGAGTCACCTTGAGTCGCCCCGTGGAAACCTTAAATTATCGCTGTCATGCACACGTACGCATTGAGCTGGTCGTCCCCCAGTACCCGGTTTACATCGGTATGCTTAAGTCTTCTGTTCTCGTTACCGCGTCGCGGTGCTCTCACAGTGTCGCAGCAGCCGCGGTTCGAACCTGACCTCCCAGTCGGCAGGCACGTCTGCTTAAACAACGCCCTGAACTCACCTTAAGACGCCCGTGCGGAACCCTAAATACTCGCTGGCCATTCACGTTAGTCATTAACGTGGTCGCCCCCCTCCCCGGTTTACATCGCGAAGTCTCGATTTTCGTTGCCGCGGGTCGCGGCGGCACTCACAGTCGAGCAAGCGGCGGTTTCGAACCCTAAGATCTCCCGGTCGGAGGCCCACGGTGACAAAACAACGCCCCCTGAGTACACCTTAAGTCGCCCATGGAAACCTAAATACTCGCTGTCATTCACAGGTAGCCATTGACGTGCGTCGTCGCCCCGTTCCCGGTTTACATCGGTGTCTTAGTCTCGAGCAAAGTTTCGAATTGTCGTTGCCGCCGCGTCGCGCGCGCACTCACATGTCGCAGCAGCGGCGGGTTTCGAACCCTAAAGATCTCCCGGTCGGAGGCCCACGGGTGACGAACAACCGCCCTGAGTACCTAAGTCGCCCATGGAAACCCTAAATACCGCTGTCATTCCACAGGTAGCCATTGACGTGGTCGTCGCCCCGTTCCCCGCGTTACTCGTGTCTTAGTCCTCGAGGCAAAGTTTCGAGTTGTCGTTGCCCGCGGTCGCGGCGCACTCACATGTCGAGCCAGGCGGCGGGTTCGAACCCTAAGATCTACCCGGGGAGGCCCACGTGACAACAACGCGCTGAAGTCACCTAAGTCGCCCATGGAAACCCTAAAACTCGCTGTCATTCACAAGGTACCATTGACTCGTGGTCGTCGCCCGTTCCCGGTTTACTCGGTGTCTGTCAGTCTCGAGGCAAAGTTTCGATGTCGTTGCCGCAGTCGAGGCGCACTCACATGTCGAGCAAAGCAGCGAGTTTCAAACCCTTAAAGACCTCCCGATCAGAGTCACACAGTGAACAACAACGGCTGCTGAGTCACATAAGACGTCCGTGGAAACCCTAAGATACTCACTGGTCATTCACTCGTGGCCATAAACGTGGTCCGTCCCCCCTCCCCGGTTTACATCCGCGAAGTCTCGATTGTCGTTGCCGCGGGTGCGCAGCGCACTCACATGCGAGCAGGCAGCGGGTTCGGCAGACCCTAAGGCCTCCGCTGTCGGAGGCAAACATTGACAACAACCCCTCAGTCACCTAAAGTCGCCCCGTGGAAACCCTAAACATACTCCGTCATCCACTCGAAGTCATCACAGTTGGTTGCCCGATTTACATCGGTGTCTTGGTTCTCGAGCAAAGTCTCGATTGTCGTTCGGCACTCACATGTCGGAGCAGCAGCGGTACTTGGCCTTGGCGCACGTCGTATTTGGGCGGCAGCCAGTAGGCGCCACGCGCGCGCGGCGCCCCGCGCGCGCAGCAGCAGCTCCGGCGCGCGCCTCCCAGCGGCAGCACACGCGGCGACGCCGCGCGCGCAAGCCTGGGCTGCGCGTCCCACGCCAGCAACCGGCCGCGCTCCACGCCCCGTCTGCGCACGCGCACCGTTACGTCGCCCCGCTCACGTTGTTTTTGTTGTGGAGGAAGTATGTTTGGAGTAAATGGGCTATTGGTTTTCTTTAAAAGTTGGTTGAAGATAGTGCTTTCATAATACCTCTGTTTGAACATGTTAAATGACGCTGTACAGCGGCGCCGGCTCTTGAACGAGTATAGATTATTTGCTATAAGAAGGCGACTATTTTGAAACTACTGTCTGGCCACTGCTGACAAACCCAATAAAAATTGCAGGTTATGCAATTGGCCACTGCAGAGCACATAATTGCAGGTTATGTCCACTCCACTGATGTTGTCATCGCGTTTATAGATAGCTCATATGTAAATGGCTTCATCACTATCTCTTGTAATGTCATCGCCCGTATGAACGTTCATTTGTTTTACGACCTGCTCAAAAGTGGGCCCTCTCAGGAAAAAAACCTCTGCTAGCTGCGAGCACGGACGCACACAAGCACAGTGCCGACTCTTCGAAGGAGAGTCCCCAACGGGCAGCGGCGCCGGATATACAAGGGGTTAGCTGGCACGCTGAGTGGAGAACTAGCTGTAAGGTATTAGTGAGCTAATTGCGCTTTGTAGTGTGAAAACTATTTCGCCGACCCGTGATTTCGTTCACTGCTCCTGATGCCCCGTCTGAACTTTGCTGGACTAACAACGTTTGCGAACTTCAACTGGTGGACGACTACTTGCGAATTGGACCTGGTTTACTCTTCAAAGCCGCTTTAGATTACTTAGACGTAATTGTGGTCGAATGTGGTGCTTTGCCGAAAACCATTGTAACTAATCTCAAAGATAAACGGTGTTATTGTTGCCGATCTGGAATTCCCTTGTTTGGATATATTTGGATATAATACATTCTTGTTTGGATATTAAAAAAGCTATACCCAAAGCAAAATTATTTGTCCCTATAAAATGAAAATTTTCAGTTCGCATTTAATTTTTTATTGCATTCAGTTCGTGTGAAGTTCCAAGCTTATCCACTATGAGTCGCTGCAAAAAACTCTCTTCAGTTTGGACATCGATGTTCGTAAGATTATATCGTGCGTCGAGCACCTTTATTCAAGGGGGCGTCAATTCCTTTTGCGCATGTATCCCGATATTCAAGCCAATGAAACTTCAAGCACACAGGGTTGCGTTCAACAATATTAGCCCGCGAAATTTTTAAAATCCCAAATATCACGACATTGCAAACTGAACTATTAAGTAACTTTTTTATCGTTTATTTCAAGTTACACCTTCATCGTGGTTATTTTTGATGTCACCCGTTAAACATTATCACTTTGTGAACTTTTCAAATTGTTTCTCAATACTTCTTGCTCTCCATGCAACAATGGCCGCCTACGACTGACTGGCTTTCAAACAAAGTTCCCGTGTTGTGGTCACATGGATCGTCACGCAAACTCGTCGGCAGAACGAACAAAAAAATCGCTGCAATTCGAAAGTAGCTCACCCATATCCTTTCCACCATGACTCCATTAGTGCGATTTTTTTAATTGCTACACCTGAGCCCTGTCTTTCACATTGGTATTAGGCCATTGCATTCGCATCTTTCCGGTCATGCCGCTATTTGTAGCGACCGTATCAAGCAAGTGTTCAAGGAATCAAAGCAAGGGAACGTGTTACAGCTTACCTGGATGTGGTATACTGCAACTGTTTTTTTCGTGTAACATCGCGATCATTGCGACATCTATCACAAGATCGAGAAATACCCGAAATGCAGTGCCAATGTTGAACCCGAATAATGTTCACTGTTTGAAGTTAGGGCACAGGTGCCACAGTTAGAATTGCACTATAGAACAACGGTGTGGAAAGATACGACGGCTACTCCGGCGCACCATCGGGCAATGTGGGGGCGACTCCGGCGCACAGTTAAAAAAAATCGCACTATAAGAGGCATCTATGGGCAAGATACGGGTGGCTACCCGGCGCACCGGCATCCGGGCACAAATGGAGGAGACGCTCCGGCGCACAGGTGCACAGTGTAAAAATAGCACTAGAGAGCAATGTGGAAAAGATTACGTTGGGTTACTCCGGCGCACCGGATCCGGGACCAAATTGGAGACGCCTCCGGCCGCACAGGTGCACAGTTAAAAAATAGCACTAGAGAGCAATGGCTGAAAGATACGTTGGCGTACTCCGGCGGCACCGATCCGTGAGCACCACAATGGAACGGCGCTCCGGGCAACAGGTGCACAGTTAAAAAATCAGTACTAGAGCAGCCAATGTGGCGAAAGATACGGTTGGGTACTCACGGCGCAACCGGATCGGTACACAAATGAACGAGCTCCGGCGCAACAGTGTGACAGTAAAAAAAGCCACACTAGAGGAGGGGGGGCAATTTGGGGTTCTGGGGGGGAACAAAAGATACGGTTGGGTAGCTCGCGGCGCACCGATCCGGGCACCAAATGGAGACT